GGGGGGGGGGGGCATTGTTCACGGCCGGTTGTTTTCAGCGGAGAGTTTAAACAATGGGGGAGAATGCGGCGGAAGGAGTGATTAATTAATCGTGGGGAAGATTATTGTCATATTTTGGGGTTTCAGGATATCCCAGTAGGGTAACCAGACCAATAGGTAGACACCGACCAAAAGATGAACAATTTCAACTTTTTTTTTTAGTATTCTACACAGAGAGAAAAGCACGGTGTCAAACAAGTCTTGTTTGGGCCAACAAAATCGCTAGTTGAAAATTGTCAAAAAAGAATTTGTTTGGTTCGAATTTGAAAGTATCAAACATGAATGATTGCTCTGCTTTCGACAGCAACGAAATATTTTGCTCAAGAGGCGGATAATTCACACCAGACGGTGCCTTTTCAGGACGAAAATATCTCATATAGAGGAAAATTTATCAACAAATATTTTATCCCTAAGTTACAAGATTGCTATCATATCATTATTATTGTTTCATTTAAGGATTCATTTCTTGTCTGTGATTATTAGACAGCCGAAACGAAAAACTACTATCCTTTGTTTCGCATAGAACAAAGATTTTTCGAGAGCAAAATACGTACGGGAGTATCGAATAACGAAGGAGTAGTGCTGGAAATGACATTTCTTGCGTCTACAGAGAATGCAATTATTTTTGAACTACTAAATCTATTTTTGCGACAAAAATCTTTCATTCCGGCGCACTCTCTGCATATTTGACAAAAAAAATACTTTTTTGATAATTTTTAAAAAACTATTTTCTTGGCACAAGTAAGACTTGTTTGAGAACTTTGTCGGTTTTCTCTCAGCGTATAAAAAATATAATCGAAATTGTACTACAAATTTCCATTTTTGATGATAAAAGTAATATATAATAATACGATGATTTTCTTATTTTTTATTGATGAACATTTCGACTCATGTAATGGAATGTCAATTTTTTCGAGCGTTATCGTGTTCACATCAATTTTATCACAAAAATGAAAAATGTCAAGTACTGGGCGACTTGCAATTGTTAGGCATATTATGGTCTGATTCGATAGATATTATCATAAAGAATATTTTGACGCTAAAAAAAGTTCATTTGATGCAGTAGTTTTCGAGATATTGAGAAAAGAAAAAATTTTCGGAATCGCTGTATCTCAAAAACTACTGGACCGATCGAGCTGAAATGTCGCCCAGATGTGCTCTCAAACAATATCAATTATGAGCCAAAATTCCAGATTTTCATCTATCGCTTCAGTCCTTTTTCTGTGAAAATTTATTAAAAAATCCCCAGAACTTTGTGCACAAATACGGACGTACACACAGACATTCTCCAAAAACCTCATATCTCGACGTTTCATGACATTCTAAGTGATTTCCAAGCAAAATTAGAAAATCGAAAAATCGACCGATTGCAAAGCGTCCATTCGGAAGCAAAAAAACCTTACCGACACAAGCATTCAATTATTCCAATTAATTACAGATTTCTGCCGCAAAGTGAATGGCGAAAGGTTTTTCCAACGCATAAAAAAGGAAAAAACTATTGAAGGAAACGACCGGAATTCCTGCAAAAGCCCTCTACTTATCGCGCTCGCATTCTTTCAATGTTTTATTCCCCTTTTCCATTGACGTAAACCGTCTCAGGAGGTGCAATGGCCCCTCAACGATCACTCCTATCCTGAATGAAGTGAAAGGGATTTACGCTCATTATTCATTGGGTAATTTTGTTTCTACCTAGATGGAGAACACTGGATTCTCCTCGGTGGAAATCGATAACTCGATGGTGTCGTTGAGGTGTAGTTGCGCTCTAATGTACTCATTGGCGAGCGAAATGAATTGAATTTAGTGTTTGTCGTTGGACTGCCAATTCCAGATGTTGTTGTAGTGCTGTTTGTACTTGAGTATCTTCGACTTGGTGACAGTGGAGCCATTGTACTAGCACCGTAGGAGACTGCTACTGCACCTGGATGTCCACTGCGATGGTATGACATTGCACTGAAGTGGCGGAGTGCAATGAGTTGACACCCAGTTCAGTATCTCCTGTGAATAATTCATATTAATAATATTTGAAATAATATTTGAAAGAAGCGTTGAGAATTTATCAATAATTTATCCACAAATATTATTTGTTCGGAAACAACAAATTTATTCCTATTCAGAATTTCATCAGAAATCAATTTCACACCTAAAAAAATAAAATTTCCGAAAGTTTAAACAATTTACATTATTCATTTATAAACAACGAATGTTAAAAAAAATAATTCTGTGCAAAATGTGATTTGAATGCCGCTGAATATTCACGATTGTTTAGAAATTCTTCTCATGCATTTTAATTGCAATTAAATCTATAGTGCGGGCTGTACCAATTATAAAAAACGATGAATTAGTTGAAGATTTGAAAAAATAATTTCTTCACTCATCCACCACTTCAAAATCTCCTCAAAACCCATCCAAACCTTGAAACAATTCTCTCCAATTCCCCCCAAACCCCCAAAATTCAATGCTAAGAAATCCTTCAATTGTCTCCCCTTTTACGCGCTACGCATTCGAAATCATGTGTCGATAAGGCAGCGCCCAAGGACGCGTCATTGGCGATCTCGAGTGCGCCGACAATCCCAAGGATTCCGCAATTTATGTGACCACTAAAACCACCAACCAACAAGCATTTCAAAAACCACAAATTTTTATCCCTCCCCCTCTCATTCCAGCAATTCCCCCGCGACAATGAATTTTTACGGATTCATTTAGTGGCTGACCTACTTAGCGCCTCTCGTACGTCGAGAACGAAAACTCGCTGGAATGATTTTTAAAAATAGCCCCGCCACGAGTTGAAGTTCTCTTTCTCTCCGATAATACTACAACGGGCACGCGATCACCTGGCGAAATGATGAGACGTTGTTGTAGAAAAATAGAAAAGAAATTCACTGCACTTGTCTCAGTACACTCTGTATTCTCCTCCGCTCGAAATATGGCTTGAGGCCAAGCCGAAGGTCGCAATCGCGTGATGGAGCGATTTTTCATGCTTCCTTACATATTTCTCTCTTGCCCAGTGCTATGTAATCCCCCTGGGGCACTCGCCACAAATTTTTCCACAATATCGAAACGCCCGGAAATATTTATATCCCGTATTTTTCACCAATTTCGTTTATACATGAAACACGATGCCGAGAGGTCGTCGAAGGTCGAATGGATGATCTGAATGCATAAAAATGTCTCGCAGTCGGTGACGAGAAAAATACGACATGTGATCTTTCTTGTTAAGTTCATAATTGCAGGCTTTGTCAGATGTCTGGAATGGAGGCATGAAATAACTTGTTTGTTTCTGTGTTTTTCGTGTATTTTTAGAACTATTATGTGGTATGTTGTGGAGTGGAAACTCCCTTTTGTAACGTTTGTTATTCATTTTGAAAATGAGGCGTTGCGAGAGAATGTCAAGAAACTTTTATCGGAGGGCATTCCCTTGCCTATTGCCTGCGGGAATGATTACTTGATTACTTCCAATTGACTACTGACATGAGCTATTCAGATTCATTACTACTGTTGTTTTTTTTTAAATTTATTATTCATAACTCTTATCTTATGTCGAGTTATTTACACCGTTGTTATAAAAGATACATATTTACACAACTTATAAATATATCATATTTATACTTGTAGGTTGCATTCTTTGAGGTATTCACAGATTTCTTCGATATATTTGTGGTCTGCTAAGATTTTTTACAACTACATTTTTTTAGTCTGTCAATATTGTTGCTTGTACTGTGATTGTTGTTAATAGGAATGATCAACAAATGGGTAATGGTGGAAAATATTCTGGAGTACATTAATAAGATAATTTCTCATGTCACACGGGGAAAAAAAGACAAGTATTTTGAAGCGAAAAAAAATTAATCGGACCGGTAGTTTAGAAGATATTGAGCAAAACAATTTTTCAGACATGGTGAAGATCTTCTGAACCACAAAGCTTCCATTCGGTAGCAAAATTACAAAAAATTACTGTACAATTTAGGTAATACGAAAGCCAAATTGAATTTCACGAATTTGTACTTCATTGTTAGGGAAAAATCGAGAATAGAAGATCAATTTTCCTCCTTGCATCGTAAATTTTTGCAAACGAACAGGAAAATTCGTGACTTTTTGCTGGAAAAGTCAGACGAATTTTAATTTCTCTTGCATTTCTTTGCTCATGCATTTTCCCAGTTTAGTAATGACTAAAATGTCTCAACAATCATCGAATGAACCTGTTTACATGGTTTGAAGAATTGATTCTTATCGCTTGACACATTTTTATCCATCACTCGATGAAAAAAAATAGAAATCCGACTACCGCAGTCATTAATCCGACCCAACAAAAGACGCTGAGTGATTCACACGTGTTGGAAAGTATACTTAAATACATTCCAAACGTTTCAAACAGCATCCTCTCTGTAGTGGCGACTTTCCAAATCCCCCTCGGCGCACACTACCTCCAACTGTTGGCATTTTCTATTTATAAAAACGCGTGATAATTCGCCGTCACGAAAGCATGTAGCATGGGCGTCTTCGATCGCACGAAAATGTAATTCAAATGGACAATAAAACGTGGAAAAATGGCCATGTGCTCGTGCGTTATTTATTGTTTGTTGTATTATCAATTTATAAGGCGGAAGTCTCAGACGTTTTGGAGGGTCGAGGATTTTCATTTTCCCGGAGGAGCGATGGATGATTTATGGAATTTATCGTAACGACCTTCGTGTCGTATCACAATTACGTAATTGTATGCATGGAACGATCAATTTTAACGCGCCTTCGGTCTACCATGGAGACTTGTCATTATGCTTTTTACATGATGAAAAGTTGAGGGAAAAAATTAATTCTCTTTGGAGTGTTTTTTTGTTTTTGAAGTTAAACTTCGTGAAGGAGGCACAATTGATTTTTTTCAAGGGCAGTTGCCTTCGCTGGGTCACGGAAGTGAAATTAATTTTTTAATATCATTAAGAGAATTCCTTAATGAAAGTATTATAAATTTAGCTTGAATTTTGAAGATTACAATCTGAAATGAATTCTAAATGAAAGTTGGTATGGATGGAAACATTCGGGTTGAGTTTGCGCTTCATCGGCAGTCTAGTATTATCCTATTCACTGAAGATGAAAGAAACGTGAAATTGTTTTATATCGAAATATCTCGAAACTGCCTGACCGTTAATGCTCAATTCTGATTGGTCAATGGGGGGTCACTTGAAGTAGTCACTGGAAAAAATCCCCAGTATTTTTAAATTCTTCAAATGGCAAAGATTTTTCTGCGTTATATTTTTCATTTTTTCATGTGTGAAGAAAATCTTTATATCAAAACATATCTGAATTGCCTAATTGTTGATCACGAGAAAAAAACAGTATTTCTAAATGTTTTTAACTCACAAATTATTCTTCACTTCCCGAATTTTAATTTTTTCATATTTATCATACGTAAGAATGATAAATTCTTGCTTCTCAGATTTTCATACATAAATTCTAAACTCTACAAAATTCATGAAAATTCTTCGGTTTCCCAAATAATTCGAGAAAAATCTTTGAAAATCTACGGTTATCTGGAAAACTGTGAAATTTTCCGAAGAATTCAAGAAATTTTTTCAGTTGTCTAGGAAATCAATTCATAACCCTCCCCTCATTTTTCAACAATTATAGATTTTAATCAGATTATTTTAAAAAGTAGAAAAAAAAGAATTAATTGAAGATTAAAAATTATTCATTGATGATTCACTCTTCATTCTCTTAATTCTCTTTAAGTCATTATCAATATTTATAAAACATCTATGAATATATGAAGTTTAATAAATTCGATTTCTTCGTTTTCACAACGAATAGATAAGCGCGTGCACAGGTCTAGTGGATAACGCGTGCACTTAGAGACCCGCCTTACGACGGTCCAATTTTTTGAATATTGAACTCGACATTTAAGCGATAAATGCTAAAAAAGTTTGGAATATTCTGAAATAGGGTCGAAGCGCCTAGAGACTGCATCGGTGGGAAAAGGGCCTCGTAGGTAAGCTCTCAAATCAATCGACAAGTTTTTATAAATTTTTACGGCAATTTTACGATAAAATCACGCAAAATTAAATAAACTAGTGTTTAAAAAAATAATTGAAGAAAGAATGTGACGGATCAAGTGAAGATTCACGGGAAAAACTATCAATGATGAATAATTTTTTTGCTTTGTTGAATTTATGGTACTTCTTTACACTCAACAATACAACTGGAGTTTATTCAGTCTACATTCCAGTTCAAACTGAGAACTGGGATTGAATATCACGGTCGTATTGAAGAAAATAAATTTTCCGGTGGAAGAAAGTAAATAATTCGTCACTTTTTTGCAGCGAAGATTGATGAGAGAAATTCAGCAGAAAATTGCTGCGACGTGATAGAACGGGTCAATTCTTAATATGTTATAGAATATGCAATCAACTTGATGAGTGCTTTGAGAATAGAATGTTGAAGACATTTTTGTTGAAAACTTAATCAGCTACAAAAAAGATCTCACGAAATTTCTCCTTAAAAGTTTGTTTTCAAGATAAATAATTAAATAAACAATAAATAATTAACTAAAATGTTGGAAGTTGGTTACAATCTACCACTTCACTCCCAACTTCGGGCTCATCTCAATAAAGTTTTTATTACAAAAATAAATAAATAAATGAATAAAATCAGATTTCCCATAAAAATATCTTTACCCGTCTACCCACCACCTCCACAATTATTGACCCAATATGGATTATCTTGATGAACGAGTTCTTTGAGAATAAAACATCAAGAACAGAAATATTCCTCTCGAATTCCTCTAGCACTCGTTTCCACGATAAATAAACTATTATCGAACTTGCCAGGAATTGATTACGATCTACCACTTGACCCCTAAATTCGGATAAATTCCGACGAAAAAGCAGTTTTTATCAGATAATACGATAAGAATCATATAAAGCATGAAGTACTTTTTCAAAAGATTTTTCAATATCTACAAATGAATCACGAAACACGAAAAATCAATACTTCATCAACAAACCGTTCGGATAATCCTCCATCATTGAATTCTAAAAATAACTAAATTGAAAGTCAGCCTCATCATCAATCTCTCATAAAAAACAACTTCAGTCATAATCTCCGCAATTATTAACCGAATCACCGGTTCTTGAACAATAATTTCATTGAATTCGCATTATCTTGATAACGAGGACTTTGAGAATAAAACATCAACAACATTTTTGTTGGAAAGTCGATCAGCTACAAAGATCTCGGGAAATATTTCTCTAGGAGCACTTGTTTACACGATAAATAAACTATTATCCAAAATGTTAGGAGTTGATTACAATCTCGCACTTCAGTCCTAAATCCGGATTAATTCTGCTAAAGAAGTTGTTGAAAAAAAAAAAAGAATCAACTGCAGCGTAAAGTACCTTCTGACAATCCTTCAATATCTAAAAATGAATCACGAAGCATGTAAAATCAATACTTCATCAATAAACCGTTCAGATAATACTCCATCATTTAATTCTAAAAATAACTAAAATGAAAATCAGCCTCATCATCAATCTCTCATAACAAAACATCTTGACTCCTCATCTATTATCTCCACAATTATTTACCAAATACCCTTTTCTCGATAAAAACTACGGAGCTGAATAATAATTTCATCGAATTTGCATTATCTTGATAACGAGGACTTTGAGAATAAAACATCAACAACTGTTTTGTTGCAAAGTCGATCAGCTACACAGGTCTCGGAAACTAATCTAGCACTTCAACCCTAAATTGCAATTAATTCTGCCAAAAAGCAGTTTCTATAAAAAAAAAAAAAAAAGCAGGAATCAACTCCAGCATAAAGTACCCTTCTGACAATCCTTCAATATCTACAAATGAATCACGAAACATGAAAAATCAATACTCCATCAACAAACCGCTCAATCCTCCATGATCTAATCCTAAAAATAGCTGAACTAAAAATCATCATCATTAATCTCTCATGAAAAACATCTTGCCCCGTTTAACGATCATCTCCACAATTATTAACCAAATACCATGTAACTTTCGAATGCAGATATTTTAGGTCTCAAGACGCCATAAGGAGTGTTTGCATTGGATTCGTGATCAAATACCACAGGCGTTATTCAACTCTCCGTACAAGCAGCTGAAAACAGAAGAGACGACGGCGAGAGATTGGTAGTACAGTGGCTCGGATGAGTGTGACTGTAATCCGCGGCACATATACGTTTTATCCGACCCCAAGAGGACAGGAGGGGGGTTACGTCATCGAGGATAAGCCTCGTTAACGTGCAGATACTACAGCAAGATTATACACTAATGTGCCACGTTTTACGCAACTGATTCAGGGTTTTTTCTCGCATTCTGATAAAACGTTGATTCATGAATTCCTGTTTATTTGTCATACTCCAACTCCAATAGCAGTGAATGTTGATTGCGAGTGCTGGCAGTGTGTGCTATAATAACATTCGTTTTCAGAATATATTTTTGGAAGTTGGGCGAGCGAATTCGGGGGGGGGGAGGGGGTGAGAGGGCCTGATCGATAAGGGTGCGTGCCGGCCGGCTGTTAGGGCTTTTCTCTATTTGTATCGGATTTTAGGGTTTATTTTTTTAGGTCTTGCGTCTTGGTTGCTCTTGTTATCTGACACGGAAAATTTGATTTGGGTGGCAAGGGCTTTGGGGAAATCCAGAATGACGGGGGATGACTTGGTAGTGCTGTTGACGAGGTCGGAATGTATAGCACAACTTCAGGGGTATTTTTATGATGTACACTGAGAGAAAAAAATCGTTCGGCCGAGAAATTAATACGGTCCTCTTAAGGGGAGAGTACTATGAGTTTTGAAAGTCGCGGGCGATTAAAGTGGGATTTCTCATGCATTCAAGATCGATTGTATGTGTCTAACAACGAATAATTTGTGCAAAAAAATCAATTGTTTACCGTGCAGGGCCTCCAATTTATGTGTACAATAACAATTACCATTAGTTTTTTGAAATTCGACTCCTACACAGCTAATTGCGTTTTTTTTAATATGAAATTTTGCGCCACTCATGTAAAATAGGCAGAACAATTATTCTTAAAATATTAAAAATATATTCTCGATTCTTTCAGAAACATTTTTTCGGCTATTTTACATGAATGGGGCAATTTTTTATGAGAATTTCCCCATTTTTACTTTTTTTTTTTAATGGTTTTCTAATAAAACTAATTCGTAATTGAAATTGCACATATTTTTCCAAAAATTTTGGCAAAAAAAAACTACTATAGCTCAAAAATGGGAGGCCCTGGACCATTTTTAACATTTTAAGCGTCTGCGGGGCAAACGAACGATAAATAATTAGTTTTTTTGCACTGATTATTCGTTTTCAGAGACATAATCGATCCGCAATATATAAGAAATCTCATTTCAATCTACCACGACTTTTAAAACTCACAGTAGTCTCTAGGTAGGACAGAAGATTAAAATGCAGAAAAAATCTTGAAGAATCAGAAAAAAATGAATAAAAAAAATGACTGAATTTTCGTTTTGTGCCTAATGCGAAAATTATCGTCAGTGTTAAATTTTTGTGATAAATAATTCATGTTTGTTTCTGCAACTATTGTTTAATAAAATAATTGTAAAGAGACTTTGATGGACTAATTTTTTACTCTCGTCAAAGCTAGCATTCATGTAAGAAATTATCAATGATGAATAATTTTCTTTCGGGCATTTCACATTTGTTTTTCCTCCCCACACTCAACGCCTTGATTGGAGTTTGGATATAGCACTTTAAACCGTTTTACCGCTTCGCTACTGAGCTGACTGGAAACAATACACTCCACTTCAAAGAATTTTTTCAAAATATTTTGGAATCTACAGAAGACCGAAACACTTTCCTTAGGCCTTTTTCCACTGCTTTAATTCAGCAGCGAAGCGATAAAACAGTTCAAGTCGACTCAGCCCTTAGCTGAGTTTTTGAATATCTCCGAATCTAAGGGAGATAACGAAATTTTCGTAATGACCTTTTTTGTAGCTCAAATTGAGAGCTACAAAAAAGGTCATGGCAAAAATTTTGCCATCTCCCCTAGATTTCGAGACATTTGTTGAACAGTAAAAATCAACTTGAATCAGTTTACCACATGAAACTGAAATTAGCGAAAGATTCGACAGCAGAAGATTAGTTTTAGGCGAATCTAGGGGTGTACAAATGTTCTTAAGTAATGTACAAACTCTTTCGCCCATAAAAACATTTGTACATATGATTATTTGACTCTCTTGCATTTAAATATCCCTTAAATTGAATTTTCCGCCGACGAATAATCAACTAGTTTCAGCTTCATGTTTACCACTTCGTCACTGAATACCTCTCTCCAAAAACCTCTCCCCTGAAATTTCTCAACCCCCCACGACTTCGAAAATATTCACAAAAAACTTATTCTGAAAATGAGTCGAGTCACTGCGTTCGTCTCCCTCGCCGACTATTTTCGACTTCAAAAACAACATCACAAATTCGTAAATCCCAATTTTTTCTCGTTACCCACATGTAACCTAACCCGTGCACTAGAAACCGGTGAATTTTCACACGTGCTATTTTCTAAAATTACGCCTGAAAATTCAGCATTCGCGTGCTTTTGAGAAAGTAGAGATCCCATCGTCCTCGGTTATAAATTCGTAACCGGAGAAACGCATATTGAAACACTTGGATGCAGAGGATCACCGGGTTACCCTTTATAACCTATGTGCCCACGTCACTGTGCGGCCGTGTGACGTGCCGATGAAAATACTCACAGCACTTTCGAGATTTCTCCACTATTCCCACCCAATTTTCCGCACGAAAATCTCCCCTCGGAGTGACTTCCACTCGTTTCACTCTCAAAATTCATCAAAATTATTCACTCCTCAATTATTCTCTATTTACCTCCTCCTTGCAATGAAACTTGAAACTCAAATTAGCATAATCGACCTTTGATGACGTCACACCTCGACTATTTACTCGTTATTTATCTTTTTATGGAGTGAGTGGGGAATTCACGTTATATTAGGCCGAAGGTCGACGAAGATCGAATAACTGATGTTTTCCCACGTATTTATCACTAAAACTCAAGCACCATTTCAGCTATTTCCCCTCAATTTCCCACAGGGGATCATTCACTCCGGTATTTACCTCTCAAAATTACGAGACATGCAGTTCCGACTAAATAAAACTTTGGGAAAAAGCGAATTGAAAGCGGACGTGCGCCTACACCGCTCCCCAGCACCGAACTAACCGGCGCGATTCACAAAATATCCAATAATACCGTGAGTAATCGAAGGAAATGAGTGATTTTTCATCCACCACACACGACCGGGACAAATATTTACCTTTCTCCGGGCGCTCCCCTCGGTTTAAAACACTCGGGGACTATTTTCCCTTGCGACACACACCGTAAACTCCACACAAATACTCGGAATTATTACGTTTTTTTTTTTTCAACCAGCAACGTGCGTACAAACAATATGGCCGACGTGGATACAAGGTTGCCGATTTTCCTGTTGATAATTCATTCTTTATTTCCACACTACACTATTATTACTGGCACACACACTAGTCACTGCGCTAGCGCATCGCGGATGAATAAGGATTTTTTTTTTGGGAAACTGTTTTGACCGACGATGCAGCGACTTGAACGGCGGCGCGAGTGGTGCCGACATCTAGTGGAAGTTGCGAGGGTTTCGTTGATCTGCGAGAGGTGGCAGCAGGTGCTTGACAACTGCGATGTTGAGATGGTTGGGAGAGGTAGATAGAAAGGAGGGAATCCCGGCGTGGTTCAATTTCAAGGAGTAACCCCCTACTCGCTATTAGGGGTCGCTATTTGAATGAACAATAAGGGTAAGTGGGGTAAGACGGGCCCTTTCAACTTTTTTTGTGATACTCATAACTCAGAAACAAATTCATTAATTGAGATCAGTCTAGGCTCATCTTAAAAGGGAAGAAGTGTAGAGGGGAGGTTGGGGTAAAACGGACACTTTTGACTTTTTTTTACATGTTAATGAGGGGTTGAAATATTGATAGAATATGATAATTTTTTTTTTCACTACAAAGAACAATTCTTTCCCTTTGTGACGAAACTGAGCTCAATTGATCAATTTGTTTCTGAGTTATGAATAATTTTTAAAAAGTCGAAAGTGTCCGTTTTACTCCACCCGCCCCTAGTTTCCATGGAAAAACAATTATTTTTTTGTTTTTAATAACACTTCAAGGCATGCTTAGAACACTTCTACATCATATTCAATTTTCATCGAAGTCTAAAAAAAGCCGATTGAAATAGTATGGATCGCCTCTGCGGCGTTTTGACGTGGATATGTCTATGGTTTCGTTTTGGGGGGTCACTCGGCGAAAAAATGCTTATGCAGCCGCGCCATCTATCGGCGACGCTTAAAAGCGTAATAGTATTTTTCCGACCTGTTGCGATGGGGTTTTTTTACTCGTGTGGTTGGCCAGTCCTCGCCTACGGCTCGGAGGCTAACGCCACACGAGTAAAAAAAACCCCATCGGAACAGCCCAGGAACAATATTTTTCTGTAGTGATTTTCAAGTTTTCGAGTTTGGGAAGTATGTAATACCAATTCCTAGACAGGAAATCGTGAGAAGCAGTACAGAAAATTGAGTTTTCCTTAGTCAGCGGAATTGAGTTTCTTGGTTACAGCGAGAACTGAGATTTTCCTGAAGACGAGAGTTAAATCTCCAAGGCAAATTTTTTAATAAACGACTATCGATGGTTTAAAGCTAAAGATTCCTCTCGTAGAGTGCTCGCTTCCTCCTCTTTTCTCCTCGCCTTTCTCGTTTTCGAATTCTGGTTCTGTTACTCTGCTACTCCGCTCCCTTTTCTTCTGCTGCTCGAGGCGAAATGCCCCAGGCTGACAAGGTACACTAAATTTATAGAAGATTATGCGCAAAAAATCAACATTGGCTGAAGAGTTAATGGTAGGAAGTTAGAAATCTGATTGACCGATGAGTCGATGGTGGGCAGAAACCTTCTGATTGGCCAATGAGTCGATGGTGGGGTTAAAATGATCCAAGGCCGAAGACAGTGCCATTTCTCAGATAAGGAGCGTATGAATAGAAAGCATTCTTAACCAACTAAGTTTTTTTAGAGCAATTCTCATAGTATGAAGTGATTAGAAAATTCGATTTTTTTTTTAATTCTTGAGTATTTCCATGGAATTCGTCTATCAAGCAGGTTCTAATTATGAATCACGAATTTTTCAATTTTGAAATTCTTTATGAAATTATTGAGACGTATAGAATTGAATATAACATTAAATTCTTGTGGCGAATTACGTTAAAAACGATACTGCCAATGAGGATTTCGGTCCATAGACGTATCCACGTTAAATCTGACGGCTATCAAGGATACAGCCGTTTAGGATTTTTTAGCTGTATTCCACTCTGTTTTGCCGTGAGATCGGCTACAGAGCCTTCGATTGTACTGATGAAGCTACGAACGATACTATACCGACGGTAGGTCCAGCGATTCCAGGCTCATTCCGAACTGTTCATCTCTATTTCAGTCTCCCTACATAAACATTGTATGCACATGCATGACGTGCGCTTACGAATGCGTCATCATATCACAGCTGAGCCCAGTTATGTTGTAAATTGTGACCCACGGAAAATCGTGCTGATCTCACACAAGTACATGTGAAAATTTTAATTAACGACCGCAATAATTGCTTTGCATAACTGATTATGAAAAGCATATTCACTCCTCTATTTCAAAAAATATAAACATCACGAATGACCAAAACAAAAAGAAGATTCTGTGCAGAAACATCCGGTATTCCCCGCTATCTGTGCGTGCAAGTAATTACCTTGGGGAGAGAATGCGTGACACATAATCGGAGTGTCCCACCGGCTGCAAGATTGGAGAATTGACGAAATGTAGCTGAAAAATTGCTTTAAACAATAACTCGTGAGTATAAATATTCACTGACATTCGAGGATTAACCGGCGAGATAGCAAAAATGCCCGAATTTTGCGCCCTTTTTTTTATAGAAAATGTTCAGTAGAAACTGCTTCGGAGAAAAAATTAATGGAATGTCTTTTCATTCTCGACATCAATTTTATGAGTTCTTTTCATTCAATTTTTTTTCCTCGTGAAAAAAATCAAACAAAAAATGGAACAATTAATAAGGTGTTTGAAATTAATTCTATTCATTTTTCTATAATTTATTTTTTATTAACTTTTCTGTTGATAGTTGTATTAGTTTTTGGCCGATTTTAGTGAACAATTCTGCAGCTTTACCGTGCGTTTTTTGAATTTTGAAATAGGAACCCTTTCATAGAAAAAATCTGTAGAGATTCATCTTTCTAATACGATTTTTCCTATTAAGACATTTTCGACGGGAATTCCTCGATATTTTTAAAGTTTTTTAATGCTCTACGTTTCTTCTTTTTTATAAAAAAACAATCAAACAAAAAATTTTAGAAAAAGCTGAGCTGAGCAATTTTTATAGGAAATATCACAATGGAACAAGTAGTGTAGAAAAATCAAATCCTATTAATTTCCTCTATATAAAAAACGCACAGATAACCTGTGCATATTTTCAATAGAATCGGCTGAAAACTCATAGAAAATTCAACAAAAATACAATAGTTTCCTAACGAATTTACCAGATTTTTTTTTATGACACACACGAAAAAATTTATAGAAAAACCTAACGAATTCGATAGAAAATTCTCTTAAACTGCGGGTTTTTTAAATAAAAAATGTCTAATGAAAACTTTCATAGAAAATTTCCTAGAAAAAATCAGTAAAATTTCATTTTTCATCCAAGTTTTTTAAAAATATAGACAAATAAAAAAACTTGGAGAAAGATGTACCGAGAAATTTCTACAGAAAATACCTCAATGGAGCAAGTAGTATAGAAAAATCTAATACTATTCAGTTTTTCTTTAGAAAATCCAAGAGTTTTCTAGCGAATCCCCTAGGTTATTCCTCTCAAGTTATACTACAATTCAGAAGCGAAGTGCTAAAATGGTTCAAGTCGATTTTTACTATTGACCAGTTTATAATGAATATCTTGGAGAATCTTATCCAAATAAAAAAATTGTCGTTACGACTGTTCGGTCGCCCATGTAAAATAATATTTCAGACAACCGTTGAAATACTTTCGTTTTCCCAAAATTCCTCATTTTTCCCGCAGCAATTTTTTCCCCTAAATAACAGGAAGATGTAGTTTTACGCAGGTAGAAGTCATAAAATCCGGAAACTTCTCTTGAAAACCCTTGTCAACTCATTCGTACAAAAAATTATTTTTCTTGAAAATCTACTGTTCAGGCACTTTCGCTAGCCAGACAAAAGTCATAAAATTACGAAGAGTCCGTTCTGACCCTTTTCTTTTTTTGTCTCTCCGCTCCTCAAACAAGGCCCCAACGTTCTTTGGCCGACGTCGCAGAGCCTCGAACTTCTCACGCCTTCAAATATCTTTTCTGCCAATAGGACAATTTTTGTCACCACTAAATTTAGCTATCGACTTGGATCGTTTTACGGTTTCCTGAATTTCCATTTTCTCAGCAACAAGCTCCGCCGGTTCGTCCTCAAGAATAAACTCCCCTCAAAACTCCTAATTTCCTCAGTCTCATTACTCTAAATTTCCAGGGGCAGTCGCCAATGGGGACCTCTCGAAGCTACCCGACCTACACATCAGGCATAGCAGTATATTCCGAAGACCCAAATGATTACACCTGTTACATTTGCCCAGAGAACAAGAAACTTCATTCGAAGATCACTTGAAGGATGACAATCACCTCCAGAGGCTCAAACACTACACCCAGGCTTTCACCGACATGGGACAAGTCATTCGGTGCAAATGCTGTTACAAACAAATAAATCCTTCCCAAGTAATCGAGCACGCGGTGACCCACAAGTTGACCCCCTGGTACATTCCCCAGAGCAGATCTGAAATCCTGTTTAAAAATTTCATTTCTCAACGAGAGCACCGGTACCTCTGTCACCTGTGCAACGTAGAACTTCCCTTTTGGTTTCTGGTCGAATGCCACCGCAAAAGCAGTCACCATGAGGCTCTGAAGAGAGATAAGATTGATGAGGTCATCCTCCAAGAGATATCGTTCAGCTCATCCCATTATCAACTGGCTATCAATAACTCAATCTTCGTGAAGTCTTCCAAATGCTTATCTTGCAGTCTGTGTGATTCTGAAGTGGGAACTTTGTACGAGGACCTTGTCCTTCACGTCAGGGGAAAATCTCACTTGAAAAATCGGAAGGGAAACATTGAAGGTCTAGAGTCAACGGTGACATGTCGTTCGTCTCGCAAAAGCTCTAGTGATTCCGAAAGTTCTGAAAGTTCTTTCGAAGACGTCACAGCAGAGTGCAATAATAATCCTGAAGATCAGTACAACATCATCTTATCAATCTGCACAGTGCGCGATTGTCCGATCAACAGTCAAGATATTGATGCACATCTGTCACTTCATAAGAGTAAACAGAAGATGAGGAGGTCCAGAATATCCAATTCAACTATCAATAATTTAAATTGCAATGGAAAAGGAAATAGCGATGAAGATAACGAAGCAGTTGGAGAGTTCGATGGGAAGACGAGGGGGATGAGTGCAGCTGCAGGAGACGCAAAACCCGTGGATTCAACGGAAATAGTGAAGACACCGACGCAAGAGTCAACAGCAAAAGGAAATTCAGGTGCAGGTGCAGCACCTCCAAAGAAGAAGAAACCTCTTCCAAAGGGAATAACTCAAGTGAACAGCAATTTGCACACATGTTCCTTGTGCAAATGCGACGTAAACACCTGGGACTCCGTCAGATCACACGTGAAGAAAGCAGAGCATCAGAAGAATCTGCTACTGTCTGAAGGAAAGTCCAAGGTGAATGGTAAAATCACAGAGGAAATTCTGCCGAGTGAAATAATTCGCGATCGGGGGAAAGAGTACAAATGTCTGGTGGGCAACTGTCAGTTATCGTCAATGAAGAAAGTTACGGGGCATTTGAAAGGGTCAAGGCACGAACGACAAGTTCTGAGCGTTCATGATTCACTGTCGGAGTCCATAAATGCAATTGACAACAATCTCTCGGGGGGAGTAATTCCCGAAACTCCGTCTTATCAAGTCCATTTCCCTCCGTTGCCATTGAAAAATCAGGTGAATTGTTGTGAAGTAAAAAGCTCGCATTCCTCTTTGGTATCATCATCATCATTAGAGAAATCAACTCCAGGGAATGATCGAATCCCTGAGGTAATCCCCGAAGAGCACAGAAAGAACTTGAATAAGTCTCTGAATTTATCGCAAAAACCCTCGGAAGAACTCCCTCCGGGAGAAGAAGTCTTCATCACAGAATGCAAATTGTGTCACCAAGAGATCCTCGGCGATGCAGATGTTGTCTTGGACCACATCAACAGTCAGAAACACAAGGAGCGGAGAGACGCGTGGAATAATTTCTCTCGCTTCCAGAAAGATTCGCAAATCCTAGAAGACCCCGAAGTGGATAAAAACAGTGATGTCAGATATTTTATCGTTGAGAAGACTGCAGAAGCTCCTGAGGAACTGATTCGACTCTTGAGGGTGCCGAAGGGAGTCGAGAAAACTGAGTGGGAGTCGTTCTACTGGTGCCTGTGCTGCAACTTCAAAAGCTCTGGGGGTGGAGTTCCATACGCTCATTTGAAATGTGCCTTCCATTTGGAAAATTTAAAGATGAAATCAGTGGTGATTGAATCGTTTCTGAGGGGAAGTGCCGAGAAATCTTCGAGCGTAAATTTTAATCTGAATGGATTGAGAGAGCAGAAGGTGGAGAAGAGTTTAGTGAAGTCATTGGAGACTTCTAGGGCTGAGAGAACTTCGTCGACTTCTTATGGATCTTCTGGAGAAAAAGCTGCTGTACCTTTATCATCACCAAAGATTCTGACAAATGTCGTCGTTGATAGCAAGAAGAAAGAGGAGTCTAAATCGGTTTTGAGGGAAAGTACCGAGAAATCTTCGAGGATAAACTTTAATCTGAATGGATTGGGAGAGCAAAAGGTGGAGAAGAGTTTTGTGAAATCATTGGAGACTCCCAGTCCTCAGAGAACTTCGTCATCTTCATCCGGATCTGGAGAAAAACCTGCTGCATCTTTATCATCACCAGAAATTTCGACAAATCTCGTCGATAGCAAGAAGAAAGAGGAGCAATTGATGAGGGATTTAGAGAGGATATCCAAGAAGAAATATCCCAAAGTGAAGGCTCACCCCTTCGGCTCCAGGATAACTGGACTTGGAGGAGAGGACAGTGATCTAGACATCTTCCTCGACTGCAGCACGAGTGATTGTTCAGTCTACTCTGAGGAAAACTCCAGTTCCGAAGAGATATTAGATCGTTTGGAGAATATCGGACAGTGTCTTCTAGAAGATGTTGAGAACTGGCAGATTTCTCGTGCGATTCGAAGCTGTAGGATTCCAATTATAAAGGTGACTCACAAGCCCACTGGGATCAAGTGCGATATCTCGTTCACAAATTGTCTCGGTGTGGAGAATACCAAGATGATTAGAGCTTACTGCGATAAATATCCTCTCTGTCGTGTGTTGATTATCTTCGTGAAGAATTGGATGAAGCAGTGTGCGCTCACTGGACAGGATGGGTTCAACAGCTATGGGATCGTCTGGCTGGTGATCTATTTCCTCCAGGTGAAGAGGGTACTGCCGAGTGTCTCTGAGTTGATCGACAGGGGGAAGCAGTCGAGGATCATTGCGGGCTGGGAGACTGGGGTCAGCAGTGATTTCCAGTCTCGTGACAGTGGCGAGAGCTTCAAGGAACTTCTCATTCAGTTCTTCAGGTTTTATTCAGCTTTCGATTATCACAATTACGTGATTTGTCCGGTGGTGGGGAGGGCTGTTTGGAAAGGAGATTTCGAGAGACCAGAGCTATTACCGCACGCCATGAAGCCTTATCTGAATTATCTCAAAGTTAATGATTCTACACAGTTCAGGATCAATTCTGTTGTGTGCGTGCAGGATCCTTTTGATCTAGCACACAACGTAGCCAAAACTGTGAAGACGTACATGCTTCGGGACTTTCGGGCACACTGTGCTCTTGGTGCACAACTCGTTAGTCGATCTCATTTTTTTCTAGGGGGGTGCAGGTACTAGGTTAATTCCATCTCATTTTCAAGGGTTTTTTGAGGGTTTTTAAAAACATTTAATAACATCTCCATTGGCTCGCTTTTTTTTTGAATATTTTCGTATACGAAATTCTATTAGAATACTATTATTCTTCAATAATTTGATCGGCTAATGACCGCAGAGGCCAATTACTAAAGAATAATTTAAAAATTCGGTCGAAACATTCTCCACAACATTAGAATTCTATTGAATTTCTAATCTCTGGACATGAACTTCCCAATGGAAGACAATAAAAGTGCAGTGAAAATGATTTCATCGAAAAAACTGACGAATTTGCTAGAAAAATTCTATTGGGTTTCTATTGAACGTTTTATTAGTTTTTGGATAATTCTATTAAAAACTCTACAGCTTATCTGCATTTTTTTTTTCAATAGAATTTATTAATAGGAAATACTCTCGAGACGAAATCAATAGGATTAGATTTTTCTCAACAACTTATTCTTTTGAAATATTTACTATAGAAATTCCTCGCCCCAAATGTTTCATGTTTTTTGATTGATTTTTTAATGAAAAGAGAAGAAAAACAGAAGAAAAAAGCTTAGGAAAATTCATCTCCAGAAATTCCGACATAATGTCTGAGTAGAAGAATTTGTTTAGAAAGATGAAGTTCCACTGATTTTTTCTATAAAATAGTTTCTATTAAAAATATAACTTTTTAATGGACTAAAAATTAATAGAAATTTCAATAGGAGTTCAATACAAATCCACTGGAATTCGTTGAATTCTGAACAAAATCACGATATGACACTTCGTATAATGAATTCGACTCTTCGCCAAGAATTCTTCGTTTTGTTTCAATTATTTATTTATCCTGAAGTAGCTGAAGACCCCTAGGTCCTTCCACTCTTATCTGATCATATTAAATTTCTCATTTCATTGTAGATTATTTTCTTATTATATTCCTTTGATTATATTCCTTTGAAGTCAGAGGATTTTCTGAATATTGATGATCCATATGAGCTCAAAACTAAGGATTATATTGAAGATATTTTTTCTACAAATGATGTAATTTACTGTTGACTACAGGTTATTACGATTACTTAGCACGTTGTTGGTAGTATATAATTACGATTCACAGACGAATTATGATGTTATGGATTGAATAGCAATAATATAAACCTGAGTAGGTGTTATATGTATTAGTGCCTTGACAATCAGCAAAAATTATTATACATTTTTTTGTATAAAGGAGTTTAATAATGCAATTGACATGTCTCTTCCTCAAATGAAAATATATGAACAAACAAGTACATTGTTCTCGGACCTCAACGTTCCATTACGTTTAACACTAGTAATGCGATGACGATGACATGAATGGAATATGAATTTTGATTTTTATATTAAATATAAGTTTTCGAAAATATTTTAATACTGCTCAATTTAATGCATCACCTTCACAAATCCACATTACCTTTCGTTAACGTCATAAAAACAGGGAATTCATGCGTGATTCTGGTCTTTTGCAAGGTTTGACCCTCGTGAAATTGACTCTTTATGAGATATAATAATTATAATTTAATGGAATTTATTGCAAGAAAAATACAAAGTAGATCTCTCACAATAGGCCATCGCCCGAGGGCCTTCACCCAAGTATTTACATATGAATAGAAATTTATATTTTGTTTTTGTTAGTGTAGTATTTAGAGTCTAAGGCTCTATCTCTTATAGTTTCCGAGATAATCGCGAAAAACGAAAGTGGCAAAAAAAATGAATTTAATTCATCTTGTATAGGACCTAGGAGGTGGAAAAACGCAATTCTGAACCGTCCATCTGCCTATACGGTACCCAAATTTCCTCAGGAATCGAATGGAGTAGGTTTTAAGGCTCTATCTCTCATAGTTTCCGAGATAATCGCGAAAAACGAAAGTGCCAAAAAAAATTAATTTAATTCATCTTGTATAGGGTGTAGGAAGTGGAAAAACGCAATTCTGAGCCGTCCATCTGCCTATACGGAACCCAAATTTCCTCAGGAATCGAATGGAATAGGTTTTAAGGCTCTATCTCTCATAGTTTCCGAGATAATCGCGAAAAACGAAAATGCCAAAAAAAATTAATTTAATTCATCTTGTATAGGGTGTAGGAAGTGGAAAAACGCAATTCTGAGCCGTCCATCTGCCTATACGGAACCCAAATTTCCTCAGGAATCGAATGGAATAGGTTTTAAGGCTCTATCTCTCATAGTTTCCGAGATAATCGCGAAAAACGAAAATGCCAAAAAAAATTAATTTAATTCATCTTGTATAGGGTGTAGGAAGTGGAAAAACGCAATTCTGAGCCGTCCATCTGCCTATACGGAACCCAAATTTCCTCAGGAATCGAATGGAATAGGTTTTAAGGCTCTATCTCTCATAGTTTCCGAGATAATCGCGAAAAACGAAAATGCCAAAAAAAATTAATTTAATTCATCTTGTATAGGGTGTAGGAAGTGGAAAAACGCAATTCTGAGCCGTCCATCTGCCTATACGGAACCCAAATTTCCTCAGGAATCGAATGGAATAGGTTTTAAGGCTCTATCTCTCATAGTTTCCGAGATAATCGCGAAAAACGAAAATGCCAAAAAAAATTAATTTAATTCATCTTGTATAGGGTGTAGGAAGTGGAAAAACGCAATTCTGAGCCGTCCATCTGCCTATACGGAACCCAAATTTCCTCAGGAATCGAATGGAATAGGTTTTAAGGCTCTATCTCTCATAGTTTCCGAGATAATCGCGAAAAACGAAAATGCCAAAAAAAATTAATTTAATTCATCTTGTATAGGGTGTAGGAAGTGGAAAAACGCAATTCTGAGCCGTCCATCTGCCTATACGGAACCCAAATTTCCTCAGGAATCGAATGGAATAGGTTTTAAGGCTCTATCTCTCATAGTTTCCGAGATAATCGCGAAAAACGAAAATGCCAAAAAAAATTAATTTAATTCATCTTGTATAGGGTGTAGGAAGTGGAAAAACGCAATTCTGAGCCGTCCATCTGCCTATACGGAACCCAAATTTCCTCAGGAATCGAATGGAATAGGTTTTAAGGCTCTATCTCTCATAGTTTCCGAGATAATCGCGAAAAACGAAAATGCCAAAAAAAATTAATTTAATTCATCTTGTATAGGGTGTAGGAAGTGGAAAAACGCAATTCTGAGCCGTCCATCTGCCTATACGGAACCCAAATTTCCTCAGGAATCGAATGGAATAGGTTTTAAGGCTCTATCTCTCATAGTTTCCGAGATAATCGCGAAAAACGAAAATGCCAAAAAAAATTAATTTAATTCATCTTGTATAGGGTGTAGGAAGTGGAAAAACGCAATTCTGAGCCGTCCATCTGCCTATACGGAACCCAAATTTCCTCAGGAATCGAATGGAATAGGTTTTAAGGCTCTATCTCTCATAGTTTCCGAGATAATCGCGAAAAACGAAAATGCCAAAAAAAATTAATTTAATTCATCTTGTATAGGGTGTAGGAAGTGGAAAAACGCAATTCTGAGCCGTCCATCTGCCTATACGGAACCCAAATTTCCTCAGGAATCGAATGGAATAGGTTTTAAGGCTCTATCTCTCATAGTTTCCGAGATAATCGCGAAAAACGAAAGTGCCAAAAAAAATTAATTTAATTCATCTTGTATAGGGCCTAGGAGGCGGAAAAACGCAATTCTGAGCCTTCCATCTGTCTATAGGGAACCCAAATTTTCTCAGGAATCGAATGGAATAGGTTTTAAGGCTCTATCTCTCATAGTTTCCGAGATAATCGCGAAAAACGAAATCGCCAAAAAAATTAATTTAATTTATCTTGTATAGGGTGTAGGAATTTGAAAAACGCAATTCTGAGCCGTCCATCGGAGAAATGAATTTTTAATTCGCGGGCGAATGGGGAAAAGTCACTGTTCGCTGCGAAACAATGATTTTTCTTACTGGCCCATGACTTTCATGGCAGTTTTCATTTTTTTCTTACAGAGATTAAGGGATGCAACGGGGATCGATTGATGGGCAATTTAATTCTCTATGACACCGCCTGTGTTTCATTCCTTAATATTAATTAGCCAGCAAATGAATCACCTGAACATCATTAAGAACATGTTGAGGACGAGGAGGGCATAAATCCCCCTCCGAAACTATCCCTGTGACAGTGGGACTGCCATATTTAGGCTATCCAGCAGAAGTTTATCCTTCCGCGGGTACCCCCACTCTACGTAATTCCCACTCACATGCTTGGACCCCGCTCCAAAAATCCATGGATATTCTTCTGGAAAATAACCTGTACTGCCGAGTTACCGGCACAGGCATCTCGCCCAGCCGTCAGATTCAACCGTGGCGCCATCCCTTCGTTGGGGTTATACTGTTTTTTGCTTGGGGTCGCCTAAACCCCGAGATCTGAGCCTCTACTTTAGTCTATCCTCTTTGTGCCCAACCCTGCCTGCACTTTTCATTTCCATTTCAACGTTTTCGGGGTTTCAACAGTTGGTACTGCGTATGCCCGCGAATCAGATGGCTCACACGGGTAATTTACCGACCGTATAATCCAACGACTTTTAAATTTGACCTTGTAAATTTGCCATACGCACATTTCTGCAGAAACAAAACAGCGTAGTGACCAGAAGAGCGATCTTGAGTGTCCTTTCAAAATGTAATGTATCCACAATTCTAATCGTCACACAAGGGTCGTTCCTTCAGTATTGTTTTCGCCTGAGAATTGTATTCGCGAATGAAAAAAAATCTACGAATGATAAAAATTAGAACTCAGGAGCATGTGGTGTCTCCCGGACTGGGATTAAAATAGTGATAAGTAACGACATTGGGCGGATATCAACAGAAAATTCCCTTAGTGTGACACGAAGGATCAGAGAGGTTCACTGGCGTCCTGACGCTCAGCACTCGTGAGTAAAAATATTCAATTCAGCGTTGAGAAACATTCAAAGAAAACTGGTCAATTGTAAAATGTCACATGTGATACTTTTGTTAATGCGATTCATCAATAGACAGGTGCTATTGGTTTTTGTAGACAGCCTTGGAGACTTTTCTACAGTAAAATAATGTCCTGAAAGAAAATATCCATTGCAAATTCCATTTGGGGGTATTGCAACAACTTATCATGTCCATTTTTATTATATTTGAGGACATTATGGGGGGTTACTTTGCCTCAACCATTGAAATTCAATGATACTTCAATTTTCTGTTTGGCACTGATGATGAATTTTTTGCCACAATCTCAAGGGCATTTCACGCATTTTTATCATAGCAAAAAAATCTCAATTTGTTAGCAACAATTTTCAATTGATTAAGTTCGAAAATTTGACAATATTTTTCAAGTTCAAAGCACACGTACGAAAAAAGTTAATAGAAAAACCTGTCGAATTCATTAGAAAATTCTATTGAATCTCTGTTGAAATGTTCTATTAGTTTTTGGCCGATTCTATTGAAATGTTCAATAGAAAATATTCAGTAAAAAAGTCAATAGAATTCAATTTTTCTATATAACTTATTCTATTGAGATATTTTCTATAGAATTTCCTCGGCTCAAATTTTCCAAGTTTTTCGTTTGATTTTCTTGATGAGAAGAAAAGAAAATAAAATGAAAAAAACTTGGAAAATTTGAGTCGAGCAAATTCTATAGATAATATTTGAAAAGAATAAGTTATATAGAAAAATCGAATTCTGTTGACTTTTTCTATTGAATGTTTTCTATTGAACATGTCAATAGAATCAGCCAAAAACTAATAGAAAGTTTAATAGAAATTGAATAGAATTTTCTAACGAATTCGATAGGTTTTCCTATTAAACCTTTTCGTCCGTGACTCATCATGACATCTCCCCAAAACACCCTGTCTGCTTTTTTCGTCTAAAAACCACATTTTCCCAAAAAACTCCCTCTTAAATTCGAAAAACTTGTATACGATTTTCATCAGCCATTTAAAATTCCATAGATGGCCTCAAAATACAAAAACCTTAAGTCTGCATTTTTTCACAATGCTTTTTCATTATTATTTCCCCATCAAATGATGATTCTCATTACCTCCCTATCATTCTAAAAATCCAGGGACAACTCACGATGGAGTCAACCCCGCACTACCCAATCTACACCAAAGGAACAGTACTACATTCCAAAGATCCGAACGACTACACTTGTCACATTTGTCCAGAGAACCAAACCCCCCCACTCGAGCATCACTTGAAGGACGAGAAACACGTCCAGAGGCTGAAGCACTACACCCAGAATTTCATCAACACAGGGCCTCTCATTGACTGCAAACTATGTTTCAAACGGATCGACCCCAATCAGGTAATAGAGCACGCGTTGGCCCACAAACTGGCTCCCTGGTACGTCCCCGAGGACAGCCCTGAAATCCTCTTCAAGAATTTCATTTGCCACCTAGGGGGCCAGTACTTCTGTCATCTCTGCAACGTGAAAATGCCATTTTGGTCCCCAGTGGAGTGTCACTACAAAGATAGACACCACCAGACTCTGAAGAGAGATAAAATCGATGAGGTAATCCTCCAGGGGCTATCGTTCACTGTATCCCATTACCAACTGGCTATCAATAACTCGATTTTCATGAAGTCGTCCAAGTGCCTGTCTTGCAGTCTATGTGACTGCGAAGTGGGAACTTTACTCGAGGACATTATCCTCCACATCAGGGGAAAATTTCACATTCAAAATCAGAAGAAGAGCCTCGAAGCCTTGAAGACAGCGAAAATTTGTCGTTTGTTCTCTGAATTTCACACTGAAGATAAAACCCCTGGGACTTGTTTGAATAAAATCACTTCAGAGTGCAACAATAATTCCGTGTGTCAGGCTAAAGTCACCCCAAAGGCTTCCACAGCTCGTAAATCTCCATCTGACGAGAGGAAGAAGGGAACGAGAATTCAGAGGGAATCGAAGGATAAAAATATTAGTCTGAGCAGTCCACGGTTGACTAAAAGAGCCACGAGGGATGGGGGTTCAACACCAAGAGGAAAATTTAACAGAGGTGTCGAGACAGCTGGAGGAGACAGACTGATAAAAAGAAAAAATACGAAAGCTGACACTCCAACGAGAACCAGAGGAACACCGAAGAAAGATCGAGTGACGAAACGTGTTTCAAGTCCATTGATTAATAAATCAGCACTTCTGATGAAGAATTCAGCGAGCGATCGAGAAGTGCCTGCGGATTTTACGAGGATCATGGGAAATAATCACTTCTGCAGAATTTGTGGATGCCAAGTGGATGGATATTCCAATATTCTTCAGCATTTGAATGGAAAGAGGCACTTGGAGAATTTAGGGAAGGGTAATGGTTCGAGGAATTCAGAAGTTAAAGTAGATAAAGCATCAGAATTTCATGATAATTCGCCTGCAGCAATTGTGAAAGTCCCTAAGGATGCCTTGAGAGATGAGAACGTTGACATTCCTTCAAAGGGTTCTGATTCTTACGCTGCCAAAGCCAAACTACCAGCCAAGAAGAAATCGAAAAGAAAGAGGATGCCGAAATCGCAACTATCTCCACAGAAGAATCTCCCATGTCTCGTCTGTGGCGAACGATTCGAATACGCGAAGGGGCTCCACCGTCACATGACTAGACACTTCTGGAGACGATTCCTCGAGGCTCCCCCTGTCGATGCTGAAGCAAAATCTCCGGGAGGTGCTGCAACTGACGAAATAAATGGAGATTCGACCGGAATTCCAGAGGGAGGATCAACCGAATCATCTGAGGACGAGGGGGATCTCGAGTTCGAGGAGGAAAGATCGAGGGATTCACCAGGGAGAAGATTCCACTTCTCTCGCAATTCTATAACCCACCCCCTGGACATTGCCCTGGACGACAAACTGAACATCTACGCAGGTGATAAACAGAAGATTGAAGACATCAAGCTCGGAGTTCTCCTGTCCTTCAGCATCGACAAGGACAATATCTACTGCCTCGTGTGTCGAAAGAGCGTTGAAAATTCATTGCAAAACTTTTACGAGCATTTGTGCTCAGTCAATCATTTGGATTACTTCCAAGAGATGATTGAGGATCACAAGAAGTTCAAGGATTACCCAGATCAGTTGAGTGATTTAGCTCTCGCCCACGAATACATGGAGGAGGTCTCAGAAGATGTTGTCCAGTGTCACGCTTGTGGAATTCCCGTGAAGAATGACTCCATCAAACTGAAGGATCACGTCGATGATGCATCCCACGTGGAAAAATGTCCATCACTGGGAGCAAACGCCAGAGACTGGTTCACCGCCCTCTGCTCAAGAATGGAGGCCAATTTCTACAGCGCCCTGACGTACTGGTGCGTCCCCTGCGAGACGTATTGGACCCACGAGATTGAATTCCGAAAGCACTTGAATGAGAGAAGTCACAAGGAAGAAATGCAAGCTTTCAAGGGAGAAACCATGATCTTCGACTTCTGCGCACTCTGCGGGGCCCTCTGGTACGGATTCTTGAAGACATTTCACTACCACTCGACCTGCAAAATGCACAGGAATCAGGCGTTCAGTAGTCACTACCTGGTGAACAAAATCCCACATGCGGCGGAGAGGCTTCTGCATGCACCCGAGAAGAAGATCGAGGAGATTCTAACGAACGTCGAGACTCGTAGGATCGATAGCAGGACGAAGGAGGATCAACTGATCAGGGATTTGGAGAGGATATCTAAGGAAACTTATCCCAGAGTGAAGGCTTACCCCTTCGGCTCCAGGGTCTCGGGACTGGGGGGACGGAACAGTGATCTCGATATCTTCCTCGATTGCAGCACCTGCGAGCATCAAGTGTACTCTGGAGAGAACTCCAGTTTCAATCAGATATCAGTTCGTATTGGGAACATTGAACAATGTCTTGAGAATGATGTTCAGAATTGGCACATTGATCGTGTGATACGAGACTGCAGAATTCCCATTATAAAGGCGACTCACAGACCCACTGGAATCGAGTGCGACATCTCCTTCTCCAATGGCTTGACTGTGGAGAATACGAAGTTGATCAGTGCTTACTGTGAGAATTATCATCACTGTCGTAAGCTGATTGTCTTCGTGAAGAATTGGATGGGACACTGTACACTCACTGGACATCATGGAATCAACAGTTATGGGATCGCCTGGCTGGTGATCTATTTCCTTCAGGTGAAGATGATACTGCCGACGGTCTCTGAGTTGATGAAGAGGGGGAAACAGTCGAGGATGATTGCGGGCTGGGAGACTAGGGTCACCACTGATTTCCAGCCTCGGGATAATGCCGAGGGATTCAGGGAACTTCTCGTGCAGTTCTTCAAATTTTATGAAGCTTTCGATTATCGGAATTACGTAATTTGCCCGTTGGTGGGGAGAGCTGTTGCCAAGAGAGATTTTCAGAGGCCAGAGGTATTACCGCGCGACATGAAGACTTATCTTAATTATCTCGGTGGGGGGGATGATCCTGAAGCTTTCAGAGTTGACTCTGTTATGTGCCTGCAGGATCCTCTCGACCTCGCCCACAATATTTCTAAAGCTGTTCGGAAGTGCGTGGTTCATAGGTTCAAGACTCTCTGCTCTCTCAGTGTACAAATTCTTGATAATGATGCATAAACTTGAGGTGGGAAGAATGGAGAGGAGAAAAGTCTATTTTATTTCGATGTTTAGTTTCATTTCATTTTTCGGATTGAAGAGATCAGATTGATCATATTTTTTAAGGCAAAGTGCAGTCGACGGCGGGTGGTTAGCATTAGTTGCCATGTTCTTATAATCATTATAGAGATCTGTGGATGGAATTTTAATTATTGAGATTAATGCGAATGTGAATCTAAACTTCAATATTTTTGTTGGTGTGCTCTTTTGTGTCTTTATGATCACGTGAAGCTACGATGAGTTTTTTTGCGCTAACAAGTTTACTACGATTAATAAAGTATTGAATATTTATATTAGGAGTTAGCTTCACAGATTATTTGAACCTAAATTACCCAAACGACCAATCTATCATTTATTTATTTCGAAATGAAGGCCTCCTTGATATGTTGTCATCTTCGAACAACACATGGAGAGAAATTTTTTAGAAAAATTCTAGTGCTAACACGGGAAGAGAGGCGCAAAGTGACGGTCAGGAAAAAATTCCAGTGCCGGCACTAGAGATTTTATTGGGGAAAACGTGAATTTTTCCCCGTATTTCTGTGAAAATTTCACAGAAATCCCCAGAAATTTTACCTTGACAGCACTAGAATTTTTCACAGCCAGTGGATTGTGATTTTTTCCAGTACTCGTATGTGACGTGGGAGGTTTTCGTCCTCCCTTAATCAAGCCGCCTTTCGACTTGAAGACTATGCCTAGCTAGTCTCGGTACGAGCTCACGGGGAGTTCGCCCATTTGGGGAAGTTCAGGAAAGGATTGATAAGGGTGTCGTCCCAATAACCAAACACCGATTATTAAATGGATCAATATAATAAACTGAAGCTAATAATTCAATATAAAATCAAAGTAATAATGGGTTCGGTATCGCGCGCGGTGTTAAGATTTTTGACGAGGAGTGGACATCCGTTCAAGTCCAACTCCTCCCGTACTCTGCCTTGATTTAGAGCTTGAATGTCGTTACTAGCTCGGAATGCTTAATAAGCATTCTCACGGTTTTTCAGAACTAACACAGCCATATGTCATCACTGACAATGGCGACAACAATCAAACAGCTCCATTTTAAGAAGCTGGACTTAAGTGTCACCGTGGGACTGTTTATTCAGCCCAGACAGTTAGCCTTATTTTCATCAGAAAATATAAATTGAACAAAATCGACGTGTGGATATTTCCGTCAGCGTCAACAATGAGTGACTTTTCGAAAGAGTGTCATCTGCACATATGATTATCATTAAAGTTCTATCATTCAGTATTTGAAGATCAAATTCAGATGAATTTGCGAATAAATTCGGCATAGGGTTTCGAAAACACTGAAAACAAAAAACATTCTTGCTATCTCTTGCAATGATTCTGAAAGTTATGTCGGTATTCTATCTTTCGAATACCTGATTTTATTCTCATGTCCTCTATTTCTCCGGGGCCAAACAGCTATTTGCCTATTCGATAATGCATTATTGCGGGTTCTGGAATAACAACTTTATGTTTTCGAAAAAAAAACGGTTCGGCTGTGGTTCGCTTCTTGCCTATAAATTTGACCGCCAATTGACTGTTGCCATAGTTAATAATCAACTGCAAAACGTGTGGACTAGGCATAATCAGAGTTCTTTGTAACATGAGGGCGATGCTCAAATTTTTCATCATGATGGGAGTCTTGATGGGAGCACAATCATGGCGTGGACAACAACCACAGGGAAGTTCATTTTTATTACTTTTTTTAAAGGCCTTTTTGCGTCCTCTTTTCGGGTCTCATTTCGGCACTCTATCCAATCCTATGCATGCGGCTGTGGATTCTGCACTGTAGCGCATTCGCACTCCTATAGAACATAGGAGTAGCATGGGAAACCACAGGAACCCCATGCCGGTACAGGCGGTTACTCTATTAGCAACCTCCCGCTCGCCGGAGCATTCCATTGAAAAATTCGGTTCCACGGGGAATCGAACTCACAAACTTTCGCACACTACACTGAGAGAAAAACGACAAAGTTCTCAAACAAGTCTTACTTGTTCCAGGAAAATAGTTTTTTGAAAATTATCAAAAAAGGATTTTGTTGTGCCAGACATGCAGGGAGTGCGCCGGAATGAAAAATTTTTGTCGCAAAAATAGATTTAGTAGTTAAAAAAAAATTGCATTCTCTGTAGACGCAAGGAATGTCATTTCTAGCACTACTCCTTCGTTATTCGATACTCTCATACGTATTTTGCTCCCGAAAAATCTTTGTTTTATGCGAAACAAGGGATAATACTTTTTCGTTTCGACTGCCTAATAATCACAGACGAGAAATGAACCCTTAATTGAAATAATAATAATGATATGATAGCAATCTTGTAACTTAGGGATAAAATATTTGTTGATAAATTTTCCTCTATATGAGATATTTTCATCCTGAAAAGGCACCGTCTGGTGTGAATTATCCGCCTCTTGAGCCAAATATTTCGTTGCTGTCGAAAGCAGAGCAATTATTCATGTTTGAGACTTTCGAATTCGAACCAAACACATTCTTTTTTGGTAATTTTCAACTAGCGATTTTGTTGGCCCAAACAAGACTTGTTTGACAACGTGTTTGTTTTTCTCTCAGTGTAGACTTGCGTATGGAATTGAAATTTTGGACTGAGACTTTTTGATCGCCTCAAGCAACTATCCCTCCTTCCCCTGGGGTAAATAAAAACCATCTAGCATGTTGCCATAAATTACAAAATATATTTTATCGAGCTCGGCCGAGGAGCGGCTGAGATTCTCTCGCGGCGCGAGTCAAGTTGATAGAATAAGAGAGATTGATAGGATAATCATCGTTCCGGAGATATGCGCATCTAAAGTGACTTTAAAAAATTCAAAATCAGATGCCCAACTTGCCTTGAAATAACATTTTTTTCGCGATTGATTTCGGGCAGTTGAAAAAAAAATCAAAATCGCTGACTTTTTACGAAAAGTCGCCAACAAACACGTAACATATATACTATGTGACCCTTATTTTGACGATTGGTCCTACCCTCATACTGACCCTTAGGAGCCGGAAAAAATCCCGTGTTTCGAACAATTCGCCAGAAAGGTTTGGAACGGCTGCAGCAGAGAACAAAAGTGGTTGGAAAACGATTGCTGGTCGAAAGGGACCGGCGAACCGGACTACTGCGATACGCACCTCCAGACCTCAAATGATCTATACGACCTATATGAATGCGCTATTAAAGAACAGGAATGGGTACGTTGAAATAGTACATTTCAATACGACTGAGGCGGAATTTTCACGAATTTTGACTTTTCGTTTACTTTTCGTTTACGAGTAAACGAACAGGCACTTTTCGGCACGGGGTGAACGTAGCAGCAGTGTCAAAATAGTGTATTTCGATACGAGTGAGACGGAATTATCACAAGCGTGAAGTTGCACGGACGACAAAATTTAATAGAAAAACCTATCGAATTCGTTAGAAAATTCTATTGAATTTATATTGAACTATTCTATTAGTTTTTGGCCGATTCTATTGAAATGTTCAATTGAAAATATTCAGTAGAGAAAGTCAATAGAATTCAATTTTACTGTATAACTTATTCTATTGAGATATTTTCTATACAATTTCCTCGGCTTAAATTTTCCAAGTTGTTTCGTTTGATTTTCTTGATGGGAAGAAAATTGTAAAAGGAGTTTTCTGTAAAAAATACTTGGATATCCTCAAAGTTTATGCTATATTCATGAAAAAATTCGTGAAACGCGATAGATCCCCTATAAGAAAATTGAAGAAAGAAATAAGGTTGCGAGTTCGATCCCAAGTGGAGCCGAATTCGTCAACAAATAAGACTTACGTGAGAATTCTGTCGTTTTTCTCTCAGTGCACTTCCTTCTCCCCTACTTACGTAAATGAAAACTACACTCAACATTAATCAAATCAAATATCATTGATGGTAGTTCACCAGTGGCCTGAAGGAATCAGACGACATTGAAAACATTGCAATGGAATTCGAATCATTTGCTAATGAAATGGGCGAACATGTCCAAACGAAAGTTTACAAAGCTGCAAAAGAATGTGCGAAAGAGGGTAAATATTCTTGGAATAACATATTTTCATTCAAATATTGAAGTCGGAGGATTATTGTCTTTCAATTGTTCATTTGCATGATTTTTTGCAGGATGGGCGTTCGGTGATGATCGGCAAACCAGAATCTTGCATTTTACAGATTGCTGGATTGGTGTGGAGAAAAATCGCAAGTTACACGAAGAGGCATTTTGCAAAACTGTTGCTTAATAGTATTTCATGTTTTTCTTTTATTTGGTCATTGTCACTGTAGCGGCACGTGTCTTTATGGGATCCTAAGAATGTCGGAAATTCTTAAGAATAAAATTGTACTTCATGATTGCTGAAAATTTTCACGCACTTTTGCTTCAGTTATTCCCGCACTTTTTCTAATACTCTGAAGAATATGGTAAACCTTTTCCATATTTCCTCAGGAATTAAATGCAATTGGATTCAGGAGACTAGGTTCTTTAGTTTATTTATAGAAATTCTCAAAATACTAAAATTGATGTCAATGTTTGCATGGAAGGTTTATGATGTAAGCTCGTGATTGTAATGCTTGAGAAGGTATGAGGAAGGTAGTCGTTAGAAAGGAATTATTACACGGAGAGAAATATTCAATTAAAATTACGTATCTTTTGTAGGAAATTTTACGGAACTGTCACGGAATTTTTCCAGAACGTTCCGTAATTTTTACTGAACATTTCTCTCCGTGTACTAAAATTATATGGAGTTTTTGTTTGTCACTTTTTTTTATGCAGGTGAGATCGCTTAATGTTGGTTCCAGCGCTCTCTTAAGGGAGAGATACAATTATTGATTTTAGTAAGAATATTATTGGGGATTATTACTATTATTATTATTATTATTATTATTATTATTATTATTGGTTTTCATTATTTTTGTGCCTATGGAAGATGTTATTTGTGATTGACATTGATGAATATTTTTATTTTTGTGAATATTCTTTGTAACTACCTGAAACCTGAATAATAAAGTATTTACATGAATTGGTGATAAATTAATTGAGCTAAAATTTAATGTGGCTTATTAGCTAACAACCGACCTCTGAACACTCCCAGGTAGCTTTATATAATTTCCATTATAAAGGCGACTTACCAATGGCTTGACCGTGGAGAGTACGAAGATGATTAGTGTTTGCTGTGAGAATTATCGTCACTGTCGTAAGCTGATTATCTTCGTGAAGAATTGGATGGGACACTGTGAACTCACTGGACATGGTGGAATCAACAGTTATGGGATCGCCTGGCTTGTGATCTATTTCCTCCAGATGAAGATGATACTACCGACGGTCTCTGAGTTGTAATAATTTTTTTTTTGACATTTCTGGCGTCTCCGAGGGTTTCATTGGCATTAGAGGGGCCAATAAATATGGAATCGACAATTTTTTTTTCGTCTTTTCTGTCGCCTCCGAGGGTTTCATTAGCCCGAAGAACACCGATTTCTTGTCTGCAACCTACCATAAATTACTCAAACATGCATGCGATGTGCTTCGCTCAAAAAATGTTTTTGGTGATATTATGTCGATTTTTCTCTTAATGTACTTCACGGAGAGAAATATTCAGTAAAAATTACGGAACTCACAATTCGCTCACCGATTACGGAATCGACTCAGAAAATTTAAGTGACGGTATGGTAATTTTTCCAGCAGATTCAGATAAAAAATTACCGAACGCTCTGGAAAAATTCCGTGACAGTTCCGTGAAATTTCCTACAACCACATTTCGCTCCGGAATTACGGAAAAGATACGGCATTTTTATTGAATATTTCTCTCCGTGTTCTCAAAATACTCTTGTCTTCTCAGTGCACATTATTACGCGCATTATTATGCTGCCAACACAGATTCGTTCTCTTTTTGGGATCATTCATTCGGAATCATTTTGATTAATATATCCATGTATTCAGTTCGTTTCCCTCTTCCTGAAAAATATAAAAAGTTTACAGAATTCACAATTCAAGTGACCTTGACGTGTCCACAAGAAAGATAGGGTGCATAACTTTTGAATATCAGAAAACATGTCATGCCCGGAAGTTATGCACTGCTTTTATTATATTTTTGTTGCTTAATGATAGCCCGAACGAAATAAAAACAAATATTTATTCCGAAGTTGTATGCATCACCTCCCATTAAAAAACAGTGGAAATTTACATGATGCATTAATCACGCCGAAAACAATTTGTCAACCGAATTTCAAGATTATGAAATTTCCCAGATTCTAATTTTTTTTTATCTTCTGAAGATTTCATTAAATTTGTGGAAATTCATTGAGATTTCATAGGATTTTGAAGACTATATGGGAATTCAAGATTTCAAGATTTCAAAATTTCGAACAATTCTATGGCAATTGAAAAATCTCTACTCGGAGAATGGGGGATGTAGATATTTCAAGTGGTATTTTCCAGATATTTACGCGCTTTGTAAATGTTAAATATAATACAACTTTTTTTTTGTTCGCGACTCGCAAAAATTTCAGAGGAGATCAGTTTAGTACCGAAATATTCAACGCAGTGAAACTGCGCAGTTTCCCTGCGTTGCATATTTCGGTACACTGAGAGAAAAAATTACTGTTGACAAAGATGATTCCCTTGATACAAGAAAATATTCTCTTGTCAAGTGCGTAGATGATAGAAAAGATGGAACGATTTCGTTGCTGTTAACGAAGCTTTTTAACCATTGCAACGATTTGTTAACTATTAAACGCATCGTAGTAGAAATTAAAAAGCCTCTTTAACAGCAAATAAATCCTTTCATGAGTGTACAGTGGTGCTAGAACCGGAAACTTTTCTTCTCTATATGAGTTCGCGTCGATGTTTCAGTATTATTTACCTACAATAAGGGTGCCTTTGTTTATTCATTTAATATTTACGGAAGAGATACTCATGGGTTCTCATTCACTTTTCCTCCTATTCTTATTGAATATATTCTGCGATAAATTTGAATGTTTATCATGAAAACTAGCTGCGCGGCCGATCGTTGCTCTAACAGAATATTTAAAAAAATTGAATCCGGTTTGTTTCTTTTTTTTTAAAAACCTAGGAATTTTTCATTATTTTTCACAGAATAAAAATATTTATCTCTCCCCCATTAGGTACCGTGCAAGGCAAATATTATTTCAATTTTTTTAGAAAAACCACGAATTTTGGAGAATTTCCTCCAAAATCCGAATCTGAATTTTGAGAAATAGAACTTTTCCATTTTTGTGGTGAATACATGTGACTTGACGCCAAGGACTCCTCTATTTAATTCAAGCAAATGAATCTCAAGAAAAAATAATTGATATTCACCCTAAGATCTTATTTATTTGAAATTGGTTCAAGTATGTAATACTTGTTCCAAGAAAGAAATATCTCAATAAAAATAATTTTTTCTATCAGTGTAGGGTTACTGAAGCATTAATTAACAAAAAAAATTCTTGCGACCTCTTGCAATGATTCTAAAAGTAACATCAGTGTTCTATCTTTCGAATACGTCATTTCATTCTCATGTCCTCTATTTCTCCTCGGCCGAACAGCTATTTCCTTATTCGATAATGCACTCCTGCGAGTTCTGGAATAAAACATTTATGTTTTCGAAACAAAGACACGTCAGCTACTGTCCGCTTCTTGCCTATAAGATTTACCCGCCAATTGACCGTTGCCACAGTTAATAATCAACTGCAAAACGTGTGGACTGGAGATAATCAGAGCAACATGAGGGCGATGCTCAAATATTTCATCATCATGGGGATCTTGATAGAAGCACTAGCTCAGAGTTCAGAAGAATTTGAGGTACATTCATTTTTATCACTTTCATCAAAGGGCCTAGTCACTTGCTTACTGATACAAGAATTCATTTATAGTTAATAGATTAGTTTGACTATTTCAAGGTCCATTCGTCGATATTTAACACGTATGAACGAATTTCATAGAAAAATTTTGTGAATTCGCGAGAGAATTCTTCCCATCCAAATTTCAGCCGATAGAATTCCACTATTTTATATAGTCAACACGGCATTCAACTGATTATTTCCCCCATCACCCTTCCGAATAATAGAATTGCGGAATTCGACCTCCCGTGGTCCAATCAGAACAGAATTATATCGATAATACCCCGTCGTTCGGTAATTTTCCCGTTGCCACGCAGAATAACAAAAAATTATTGAATTTATCACGATAACGCCAAATATGGTTCCGTTTTGCCCTACCCGACCCTAGTAATTAAGAAAAAAAATAGTACATTACGCAACTATTGCGAAACCGCACTAGTCCTCCCCCCGTCCTCATATGCTCCCGTTTGAACTCTTGACCCTTAAGGTCATTTGACCCTTATGATCACTTAGTTGGTCCCTCGCGTTTGACCCTCAACTCCGTTTAATCCGTATAATCACTCTTTTCCCGTTGAAAAATGATCGAGGCCATAGGTATCTTATAAGAAGCCCAGGAAACTGAACATTCGGGAGGCGATAAAAGTACCGAGAGTGGGGGTAGGCCTCGAGCGCTCGGAGCTCGAGGTATCTTATAGAGTGGTATCTTATATAAAGTCTCGAGTGTACAATAGTCTCACGTAAAACCCCCACATATTTACTATCTGACATTTATTCTGATGATTAGCCTGAACTGCCGTGTTTCGAAACATTCGCCAGAAAGACTTGGAAATCCTGCTTCGACGAGGTAAATAGGTTGGACAATGACTGCTGGATTACAGAGCGCAGTGAGCCGGGCTACTGCAAAAACAACCTCATATCCTCAGATGATCTATACGATATATATTTATGCGCTGGTAAAGATTTGAAGTGGGTAAGCATTTAATATGACATTTCTTACTTGCACACAGAATACAATTTTTTTTGGAACTACTACATGAATCTATTTTTGTGCCAAAAATTTTTTATCTCGGTGTACACTGTTAAAAATTCGCGTCTGAATTTTCCGCGTCAAATCCCGGAAATTTTTATCATGTTTAATTTCCATTGAAACTTCTGATAATCTCGTGATTGAAAAATCAAATATTCTACCGATTTTCAGTTCGAATTATCAGAAAATGAATAGAATACTTGGTTTTTTGGTTCAATTATTCCGTGAGAATTCAGAAAAATCGGGAAAATTCAATGAAAAACTGAAAATATATATCATTTTGTTTTTGAATATTCATGTTTCATTGAAAATTCAATGAAGCTGTGAGATTTCCGTCTTACTTCCACTGAAAACTCATGAATTTTCTTGGATTCTAAGTAAAACTGAAATTTTTATAACCTTTTTCCCCCTAAATTGGATTTAATGTCACTTTCATGGGAATTACTATCAGATTTTCCATGAAATTTCGAAAAAATTTTAACATTATACTCTTTGCATGTTTGATAAAAAAAATCCTTTTTGAAAATTGAAAAATAGCTGTTGTCGTGACAAGGCCAAAAAAAACCTTTCTGACGTGTGTGGAGGTTGCAGACCGAGGCGAAGTGGAACCGAACATAATTTCTCTTCACAATGTCCGTCAAACGACGTCACGGATGAAAAAATGTAACAGAAAAACCTAGCGAATTTGATTTTTCTATATAACTTATTCTATTGCGATATTTTCCGTAAAATTTCCTCGGCTCAAATTTTCCAAGTTTTCTGTTTGATTTTTTTCATGAGAAGAAAAGAAAAATAGAATGAAAAAAAAATTTCAGGCGAAGAAATTTTATAGAAAACATCTGAAGACAATAAATTATATCGACAAATCGAATTCTATTGACTTTTACTAGTGAACATTTCAATAGAATCGGCCAAAAACTAATAGAAAGTTCAATAGAAATCCAATAGAATTTTCTAACGAATTCATTCGGTTTTTCTATTAAATTTTTCTATCCGTGACGTCGTTTTACGGACAATGCGATGAAAAACTATTTTTTGGCACAAGTAAGACTGGCTTGAGAACTCCGTCGTTTTTCTCTCAGTGTACCTCCCTCTCCTCAACTTCGCTAAATCAAAACTACCCTTAACGTTAATTAAATCAAATATTCTTAACAGTTCATCAGTGGCGTAAATGAAGCAGCCAACATTGAAGAAATAGCAGTGGAATTCGAGTCGTATGCTAGTCGTGCCAGCCAAGAGGTCCAAAAGAAAGTTTATAATGCCGTAAAAGAATGTGCGGAACACGGTAAATGTTCTTGGAATAATGTATTTCCGGTTATAATACCCCGAGAGCTTCAAAGTGGTCCCGTATTTCCCGGTAACTTCGTTGCATACACTGATAGAATGGATTAGTTATTATTAGCGAATGGATTTGGTTGAAGACGAGGGTCTGTTTGGTCTCACCACACTGATAGAATAATTCATTTATTCCAAACGAGATTCGTTAAGGGTGCCAAGTGAATTTGAAAAAAGATTCAAAAAAAATTTTTCTTTCCCTCCATCATTGGAGAAATATGTATTCATCCATCCGACGAAATTTCAAACCCGCAACCGGAATTAGGCATCGAAAAAATAAATGCGGAAAATCCTCTATTTCGCGTGACGAACCTGGAGAAAGCATGGGATCAAATGGGTAAGGTGGGTTGAAATATCTCTTATTCACCCCGGTAACCCATTGTTTTTTGTCGCCATCACATTGAACACATCATTCCCCATATCTTCAAATTTTTTCAAATTTTTCTTGAGTTCTTAGGGGGTTGAAACGTTCAATTTAATCAAAACTCCATAAGAGGCCGTGAATAGGACTGATTTCGTTTATTTAATTTCTCGATATCCATAAGTTCTAAAATTTTAAAATTGTCACCGATGTTCACCATCTGTATAATACTATTAATTAAAAAAAATTATAACTTTGTTGGTGAATGTCAATTTTCAAGGTCATCGCCAAATTCACTTGGCCCCCTTAACTATCAACGAATGGTAGAGTTGAATATGACGAAATGAATATTCGTTAATAGTTAACGAATGTTTCACTTGAATGGCGAAAGTCAAGTCAAACAAGGCTCCTCAAATATCCATTCGTTAACTATTAACCCTAGACTGGTCACCATGCGAGGGAATTGCCGCAACACGTCGTTTTATTCACCTTGCCATCGACTGGTTGACCGGAAAAATTTGAGAAAAATTGATTTCGCCAATTGAAGTATCTGGAAAATTCTAGTATTTTTTTTTCAATATTGTATCCTTAATTCGGGGAGAAAAAAGATTTTTTCCAACAAGTGAACAATTTTTTCCCGTGTTAAATGAAATTGTCTGTTGCGCGACGTTGCTGGAAACTCGCTAAACGCGCCCGGGAAGTGTAGAGTGGATTCGGCAACGCTGGAGCCTAAATAACACGGCGGCACTCTCCCGCGAAGGTGACTAAAGTTGCATTTTCCCGTCAGGTGACCAGACTAGGGTTAACGAATGAACACTTGGTGAGACCGAAGAGACCCTCACCTCAGACCAAAATCCAGTCGTTAACAATACCTAATGCGTTCTATCAGTGCAAATATTCATGCGTTAATAATTAACAAATGCATATTGGAGGGGCCTTGTTTGACTCGATTTTCACCTTTCAAGTGAACCATTCGTTAACTATTAACGAATATTTATTTGGTCATATTCAACTCCGCCATTCGTTAATAGTTAACGAATCTCGTTTGGAATAAATTAGTGATGCCGGCGAGAATCATTTTGAAGAGATCATCACTGTCTGGAAAAACATCGCTATCTCGAAAGACATTGGATCGCGGTGCATCTCGTCACAATTCCCGGAGGATTTATCTTGCCTGGATCTCGAGATTTTCGGTTTTTTAAGTTCACGAGACGAGACGAGACGAGACGAGACAGATATCGAAACAAACATTTGAAAAACAAAAAATACTGAAACTCAGACGTAATGGATTCTTCCAAGTTCGTGACGAGATGCACCGATCCAATGTCTTTCGAGATTACGACGACTCCTAAACCTTTGATGTTTTTTTTCGACCGTGATGATCTTTCTAAAATAATTCTCGTCTAGTCTCGAAGGCATCATTAGAATAAATGAATCAGTCTATCAGTGTACTGGGGAAATAATCATATAAATCGCGAAGTCAGAGGATTATCGTCTTTTAATTGTTCATTCGGATGATTTTTTGTAGGATGGATATTCGGTGATGACCAACCAACGAGACTCCTGCACTTTACAGATTGCTGGATTGGCGAGGAGAAGAATCGCAAGTTACACGAGGAGGCATTTTGCGAAAATGTTGCCTAATAGTATTTCATGTTTAATGTTTTTCTTTTTCTTTTATTTGGTGGTGGTAAATTCTTAAGAATAGAATTGTAGTTCATTGTATCAGTTTGGAAAATTCTAGACAAATAAAACTTAATTAATTCGAGATTCAATGGACTTCAGTTATTCCCGTATTTTTAATAATATTATGAAAAATATGGCAAACATTTTCAATTGTCTTACGTGCACAAAGAAATTTAATAGAATATCTAGTTTTGTATTTCCACGAGACCACAAATGTGAAATATTCTGGTAGTGAAATTTTTGAAAAATGAATTCTGTTCACACTCGACCGTCAAGGGAACAAGTTAAGAAACAGTTAAAGTAAACTTTAATAAAAGTCCATCGTTTATTATTTATTGAAGAGTACTGTCGATAAAAAAAATGTTGATGAGATTATTTTTTCATCCAATTGTTAATTAAAATATTGGAAAACATTTTTATGAAAAAAAATGGACCTTTAAATATTTTTATGGCACGAAAAAAGTTGTTTTCAAGTTGGCGAAGACATGTATTTTCATGTTCATGAAAAAGAACATTGTTAAAAATTCAGTAAATAATAAAAAATTGTTTAACGAAAATATCTATATACAAAACTTGAAAAATACTCAAATTTTTTTTTTCTTATTCCTCTCTTTTCCCTGGGAGTTCCGAGAACTGAGGTTGCCACTGAGCGCATGGTGGGGGTAACGAAATATAAGCGCTTTCGCCGAATCGGCTACCCCTACACCCCCAGGCGTGCTCTTATAACGGGGTTCTACTGTACTAATTCCGCGCTCCTAACGAAATATACTATTTCATCACGCTGTGCGAGAAATTAACTTTTTCGTCCCTTTTCCACACATTGTGATGAAAAATATCATTCGATACTCGTGGGAAAAGTGTTATTCGGCTCGTGGGAAGTTCATAGCACGAGCCGAAGGCGAGAAAAAACTCTTTTCCGCACTCGTAACGAAATATACTATTCCGTTTACTCGTAAACGAAAAGTAAACGAATAGTATACTCAAACGTGGCTTCTTAAATTACACTTAAAAAATTCCACGGGACTTCTTCAACTATACGACCTAGATCCCTCTTGATTTTTTCCACATCTTTCCTAGATCTTTCTAATTTATCATTATGTCGATTGATGCTGGTGCGTGAGTGTTAGTTACCCGAACACATAAAATCATACCCTCAAATTTGAACGATTACAAGGACATAAAAAAACAACATCTCTGAAAGTCTCATGATTTATTGCAAAATATGTATATGAATAGAAAACACATATGTAACATTCGAAGACATTTTATAAGACAACCTGAAGAAACGAAATTCACAATTTCCCTCAAACCTATTTCTTGTACATCAGTATTCACCATTGACGAAAAAGTGTCGTGTAAATAGTTACCGAAGGATATTACCACAATAGACCTACAGTACTGTCAAATGTTTTGCGTTCTCAGTTAAATATTCAAAGAAGAAAATCCTTCCGATCAAACGCGAGTGAGAATGATCTCACCAAAAGGTGGATTTTTAATCTTTTATTTAAATCTTCTAAAGTCGATCATTACTTTTCCTGTAGCTAGTCGGAAAGGGATTAATAAACCAATGACTTTGAGGAAGGCACCACTGACTATCAAAAACATGATTTTAGGCTCATCACTACCTTTAAATTTGACTCTCCAGTTTAAATAAAGCGTGGCTGCACAATCAACGGATTTATCCAGGGATAAATCATCAGAGCCAACGAATAAGTACGAAATGAAATGCGACTAGATGGCGTGAAGACACGTACGACAAAATTTCATAGAAAAACCTAGCGAATTCGACAGAAACTTCTATTGAATTTTCTATTAGTTTTTGGACGATTCTACTGGCAAATTCTACAGCCGATCTGCGTGTTTTTTTTTCAATAAAACGGTTCAATAGAAAATATTCTATAGGAAAAATCCATAAAATTTGATTTTTATATAGAAATTTCGCGTTTCAAAATTGTCGAAATATTTCTTTGTTTGATTTTTTTTCTGAAAACAAAAAAAACAAATGGAATGAAAATAATTTTGAATATTTATGTCGAGAAATTTCTATCGAAAAATTCTGCAGCTAATCTGCACGTGTTTTAAACTGAAAGTGTTCTATAAAATAGACCATAGGAAAATTCAATAAAATTCGAGTTTTAAAGCTACGTAATTCTTCAATGAAAGCGGTCAAAAACTAATAAATTTTTCAGAATTTTAACAGAAGTTTTCTATCGAATTCGCTACGTTTTTCCATGGGATTTGTTAATGCTGGAAGCTCAGACAAAGTCCTTAGAAATCCCTAAGACCCAATTGTTCATATAAAATTTATAGAAACACACTCTAATGATGAGAAATGCATGGCAATTAATTAAAAATTCCTCATGAAGAAATCTATGAAAACGAAAAAACTCTCTCATAACATTTAAAAATAAGAAGCATCCATATGAGGTTCCCTCTACGTTTTTCTTCGTCATAAAAAACGAACAAAGAATTCACCCAGTCACCAAAACATTGAAATCAATGCGAATATCCTTTTGATCCTTAGTTCTGTATAAAAAGAAAGAACAGCCTCTAGAAGCCTGCCTAAAAAATCTCAAAAGTTTACATTTTCAACAAATCTCGTAAAATTCTATTTCTCCTCTTAAAGCTATCGTTGTAGTAGTTATTTATAAGTACGTATAAAATTCATATTTTAACGATTGAGTTACAGTTAAGCATTAAGCATTCTTTGGTCAGTTTCGTTGTTCCTTTTGATAGCGAAAATTGGTGAAGATACTTGATGATCTTTGGCACATTGTCATGGATTTTTTAAATTTTCCGGTGGATTTCATTCGACGATTGAAGCGGTTGCTCCGGCGTCCGGGCAGGCAGCTGAGAGTTCTTTTACTTCATTTGTAGATTTATTATTTCCCCTAGAGGAAAATACAAATCGTCACTTTTGTAACTATTGGGATTTTTATTGCGGGAGAAGCCGACGTGAATTCGACATTCAATATTGGAATTATTTTTTGAATTTGGAAAAATGTTCAGCGAAAAAAAAAAAATCTGCGGGTAGCTGTATCTTCCATCTCCCGTAATTTTACGTGGATACGTCTGTCGTTTTCCCTTTCCTTCACTGAACATCATAGTTTTTCATTGTATATATTTGTATATGTACATGAGAACAACTAGGGATTGCCCACCGTTTCGGCATAATAAGGCGTTTTTTATAATCACAATACGATTGAAATGTCCTATACAACCAAAATCCCTAAACAAATTTTCAATATAATTCATTCACAACGCAATCGTGACATAAAAACACTCTTGCGAATTTTAACACGGATCCACAACGCTAAAGATCCCTCAAAATTGTAATTTTTTTTTTTTAACTGAAGAATTTTCTCAAATGTTCTAAAAAAATCTTTTTTTAATCGTTATTTCACATCGCTTCGACCTGTATACTGCGATGATGATCAAGACTTTAAATGGTTAGGTCGCACCACTCTACCCGGCCGGGATTTGAACTCGGAACCTTTCGCATGTGAG